GGTGCATAAAAGCACAGTAATAACCTGTTTAACTGGAAGTTGTGTTTTGACCACCTCAGTTCTGTAGAATACAACAGTGAATCCAGAAGTGAAAAGGCCTTTGAAAACCAAAAATAGCTAACAAAGATTGAACCAGGTCCTCAGGACTTCGCCAGGAGCCTGGCTGGACTATATTGGACAAAACACTTCAGAAGTTTGGCCTCTGGTCCCAGTCAGGGGCCTCAAGAGCAAGGTGGGGCAGGTGAAACTCCTCCAGAGAGGAAGGCATCCAGAGCAAACAGCCTAGTCACAAAGGACAGTGAGACTCAGACAAATAATGTTTGTCTCTTCAGCATGGAAAAAGTATTAAAATGCCTCATCATACAATGCCTGGTGCTCTATCAAGTCCAGGCACACATAAACAGACTCCTATTATGTCATCATATCTCCACAGGCAGCTGGGAAGAAAAACCCAAGGAGAACCACACAGATGAGGAGTGGTGGAGCTGGACATGAACTTGATCTTACGATGTCCTGCAGAGCTTTGTCATGATGTTCCCTAGGCCATATATTGACCCTTTTCTCCATGATAGCTCCCTTTTTCATAAAGTCACCAAGAAAAGATTAGTTTCTGTCTAGTTAACTCTGCTGAAGAAGATAGGGAAGTAGCCAGTACTTTTAATTGCTTTTTCATAAAAAGCATAAAACCAGACCAAGTTTGGCATTTGGATTAAAACCAGCTTTCTGGTCTTAGCTGTTTTATAAATTTCTTACCCCTTACTATCTGGCACAGTACTGGTGACATGTAGCAGCAGCAGAGGGCCTCCTTACTTCTGCCAGCATTCCTCTCCATCTCCACTATATTACCCTGATTCTCTTGTCTCTCTACCTCTTGAACTCTCATCACATTCTTAATTGAGTCTCTGCCTCCAGTTTTCACCCCTTAAATTTACTCACATTATTATGACCAAGCCAATAGGAAAAAAGGCCCAACTGCTCAGCAGCCATCAAGGCCTCACTCACTCCACTATCTAACTGCTAAGATGCTCCTCAGTCTTCTGTGTTGCTGTTCCCAGCTCTGTGCTGGGACTTCTACATTTTCAAGGTCTGTGAGCTTCTCCCACACGTCTAGTGGCCTCTGGATAAAACACGACTTAATTTCAGCATATTTCAAAAGACTCAGCATAACTGTCAATAACTGTCATCTGGTCAAATCTTCTTGGTGTCCCCACAGCATGACAATGCCCCTATCCTTGCCATGTATCAAATAGCTCATTCATGATTATAACAAAATTCCTACCACAGAGCAACTGAAACAACAGGGCTTATTGTTGCTTTACAAGAAGTCTGGAGGTAGGTGGTTCCAGGGTTGATTTGCTGATACCAGAGTGCTAGGTTAGTGTCTCTGTAACTCTCCTGGCCCTCTGCAGAGGTTCATAGCACCTCCAAGCTTATATGACAACATTCAATATCAAGAAAGATGTGTTAACTCACTAAGGCTACCACAACAAAGGACCACCAACTGGGTGTCTTGAACAATAGGAATTTTATTTTCTCATATTTTCTGGAGGCTCAAAGTTTAAGACCAAGATGAGGGCAGAGTTGGTTTCTTCTGAGGCTTTTCTCCTTGGCTTATAGGTTGTCTTTTCCCCGTGTAGTCACATGTTCTTAGTGTGTGTGTGTGTGTGTGTGTGTGTGTGTGTGTGTGTGTGTGTGTGTGTTATGTCTAAATGCCTTCTTCTTAGAAGAATCCAGTCACAGGAGATTAGGGTCCACCATAATGGCCTGACTTGAACCTAATTTGTCCTTGAACACTCTGCTTCCAAATGCTGTCACATTCTGAGGTATTGCAAATTAGGACTTGAATATATGAACTTGATCAGGGGCACATAATTCAGCCATAACAGATAAAGATTCTGGAATAGGAGCCCCCTTTAAGAATTATCCTTTTTAGGTGAAAGGACTTTCCTGGAATCTTTCAGTAGACCTGCCAAGCAGGATTTGGTAACTTGCCCCTTTCCTAGGAAAGTATTTCCACTCTGAGGAAGGGGAACTGGAAAGGATAGGAAGGACCACGGGATAAGCTGCCAAATGGTCTGCCAGACTATTCCCACACTGACAGAGCTGTCTGCTTTACAGGTCATGTCTGCCTCTCCTACTAGCTCTTTGAAGCAGAGATCAGTGCTTCAGTTATCTGAGTGCCCCTAGCAAACAGCCCTGTACCTGGTTCACAGTGCATGTCCAACCACTATCTGTTAAAGGAACAAATAAATATTATTTAATAAACTAGATAAACCTGTTTGTGTTACATTTCATTACAGCATTAAATCTTCATATATTTGGCTTGCACAGTCTCATACCTTTCAATAACTGTAGGGTGTATTACTAATGAAACTGCTTTTACAATCAAGTTCTGCAAGCTATGTCTCCCCCAAATCTGTGTAGCTGCATGAATTTTTGCAGAATGAATAATAGATAATTAAAGCATAAAAATATATTGAATATTATGAGCTAAGAAGTTATGGTTTCTAGAAAAATTTCTCCCAGAACTAGTATCTGTTCTGCCAGCATTTGCGAAGGTGACTATATCAGCAAGTATCTATTTCTATTTGTTATAAAGAGTGGTCCAGATGAATTTGGCCAACAGGTTTATGGCTTTCTCATGCTGACAGCAATTCAAAAAGAAGTAAAGCTATTTGATATGGTATTTGAGTTTGGCTCCATGGAGTGACAGGGTGTTAGAGAGCCAGATCCTAGTATGTATCACTTTTGCTACACCAAACCCCACATATTTGATCTTTGGTGTCCTATAGCAGAGGGAAAATCAAAGCACCTAACTATAAGCAGCATTAGTTGTGAGAAGTGACTGACTTGATGGTGGTTCCTCAAATTCTGATGACTTACTACCAATGTTAGAGAGATTCATGATTTCCATCAGATTCCTGCTTCTCACTTTGCAACAAAGTGAAAGGATTCCAGAAGCTGAGGTTCAAATCATGCAAGAAAATAAGGAGCCAAGGAGGCAGAAACTCAGTCACTACAAGTAACTGGTTTCCCAGAGGCAGTGTATTTTGGCACCATGAGACAAGCTTTGCAAATGTGAGTTAAGTCTCCTCACCCTATTTGAGACCCAAGGGATTCATTCCTCCCTCGCACACTTCAAGTAATGAGGTTCAATTATAACGTTCAGGTTCAATTATTGTGTCAGGGCTTCAGAGGCTGTCTCAAGGCAAAATATTTTCTGCGAGTAACTCAAGAGAAACTAGCACTGTTCTGGACCAGTTAATGGCATGTAAGGGCAGGAAATGACTTGGTCTGCACCCAACATCTGCATCATGGATGAGCTGGACAAGATGGCACTTGTGTGTATTTGTGCTCTGGTGCTGCCTGTTCCCTGGGCCCCAAGAGCTTTCCTAACTAACAGCCAGGGGATGGAATTGCACGCTATGGTGTTTTCCTAACAAGTTGTGACTTTTTCTTCTTTCCTTAAAGCATTGGTAGCTCAGAATTATGTTGCAAAACTCATAGCCTGTTACTACGATGGTAATTTTTTTTCATTGTGCCAATGAACCAGATCTTAACACATCATTGCAAGCACATTATAATAAACTATTGTCGAGAGAAAATTATCCTGGCAATATATGTATCTAGAAATTCTACCTTACGAATTGTTGTTAAAATATGATAGACTCCCAGTTCCTTTCGATGTCCTACTCTTATATATGAACTTGCACTCCCTTCTCCATGCTGCCAACACAATGACTAGCTTTACTTCAATGTTCTCTGCTCTTCCTTTCTCTCTCTCTTCCCTCTCTCCTCTCCCTCCTCTCCCCCGTCCCTCTCCCTCTCCCTCTCCCCCTCCCTCTCTCTCTCTGACAGGACATCATGAAGCCCAAACTGATCTCAAACTCTCTAGATAGTCAATAATGACCTTGAACTCCAGATCTCCTACCTCTGCCTCCCCAGTGCTGGGACGACTTGCACACCTTGTTCTCTGCTTTCTACAGTGACTTTGACTCTCCGGCATTTCTCACGTAGTAAGCATGCTACTATTTGGAATCCCATTACCTGCAGTGCTGGCATCCCGAAGATCAAAGGCACAATGACTGATGAGACATTGCAAAATTCTGCAATGACTTTTGAGTCATTTAGAAAATATTTGAGTGTATTTAGAAGAGTTTAACATTAGTGTCTTAATGGATTGTTTGCATGCCTGCTTCAAGTATATTAAAGTATACAATAACATGTTATAATAAATCAACATGATGTGGACAAACTGAAATTACAGAAAAAAATAAAAAATGGGACTTAATGTAATTAATACTCAGTCTGAGACTCAGAGTTAAAGCTAGCCAGAAGAGACCTCGTTTCAGCATCCCTCTAAGAAAGCCATGGGGATTTCAATTGTCAACTCAGCAGTGTTCAATGCCTCTGAAAAAGTCAATCTTATCCAAGATCATTTTTTTTTTTTTTGTCTCTTTGAGACAGGGTCTCCTTGTAGCCCCAGCTGTCCTGGAACTCACTATGTAGACCAGGCTCAAACTCACAAAGATCCTCCCAAGTGCTGGGATTAAAGGCATGTGTCACCATGCCCGGCCAAGATTATCTTTTTTTAAGTGTCCAAATTAAGAAGGGAACAGTTTTACTCTGTATCTAGGCAGTCAGGTCAGGTCTATAGAGGACTGTGTTTTGTTATGGAGGCCACATTTGAAAAAGAAAGGAACTAAGAATGTTTCTTTGGCAACTCTGATATAATAGCTATCAACAGCTGAAGAGTATCTAAAGGAAGAAACCTCACATTTAACCATGTAGCCCCAGAGCCCAGGAGTCATGATTAGAAATGCCCAAGGAACAGCTCTATATAAGGTAAAACTTTCTACAGTGTTTAGGATGATCAAAGCAATGGAGTTCAATGAACTTGGGGACAGAAAAAGGAAGACTTCCGGGATACAGTAACTTCTATTCTTTCTCTGATGGTAGATGCTTAAATATTTGCTTTATTGTAGTTTTTCAGTGGTCCACCATACATTTCCATGCTCTCTTCTGTAGGTGTGATATATTTCACAATGAAAAACATTGACTGGGTTGTCAGTTAAGTGGTGAATTCCCACCATTGTAAGGGCTCAAATGGAAGCTGGTTGCACTGGTTTCAGAGACTAGAGAGATGACTTCCGATGCTCACTCATCTCTAAGATCCTGGAACATATCAGGCAATTCTTACAGCAAAACTTTTCTAAAATATGAAAACAATAGCCTTTAATTAACTTCATGGGAGGCTTCACTTGGGGCAAGTTCACGACAACTATTACTGATGTTTATTAGACCATGATCCCCATATCTGTATTACAGTGACTGTCATTTTATTAGCCCTTATATATGAGAAGTAGATAGACACAGTTTGTGCCCTCTCAGAATGACAGGTGACAAACAGTCATAAAGAGAACAGAGTGAGAACCAGAATACAAACAGTGAATAAATAAATAAATAAATAAATAAATAAATAAATAAATAAATAAATAAAAAACATTTATGTGGTAAACAGGTCAAAGTTTCAGGTATTGTGAGAGTGGGAAACAAATGCCAAGGCTTAGAAAACACAGTCTAAATGGGCTGCAGCCAGAAGCTAGCTCTCTCTACTACCATTAATTCCACTGGGCTTCCTGGAAGAAGGGAACCTTCAGAAATACATACTCTGGCAATCAAACATTTGAGCAGGGGAATCTTTCTCCCGAGCTGCCAGGAATAAAAGCCAAAATAGCCTAAGTGATCATTTCCTCCTGTGAATCCTGTTCTCCTGTTCTGCTCCTCACATGGTCTCTCACTACCCTATCCACTGTGCTGATCTGAAAGAGAACTAAGACCCAAAAAAGGGAAATGAGAGGCAGGGGTATTTGTGGACTATGATGGACGTAGAATCCCGGAGAGTCCTTTAGTCCCCCAAGCCATTGCAAATAAGCAGCCAAGTTCTCTGCTCCTTCTGGCTTAGCTGTAACTTTGGGCAAAGTCACTTCTGCTTTGGACCCACTTAACCTTTAATCTGGGGATCCCCAAACATGTTACCGACATTAATTCCTCTATCCCTACAACAACCTTAGTGTTGGGAAAAACGAACCAAAACACAAGGCCTTATAAGCTACTCTAGTCCAACATACTAAAATGCAAATAAAATCTAGTCAAAATTTATTCTTTCATAATTTATCTTTACTTAAGGGGAAAACCAAGGCCATCAATTTCATATCAGCCTTTTAGTCTTTGACTTCATCTAGGTCAATAATGTTCCAGTATTTTTTTCTTCCTGGATATTATTTGGTCAGGGTCTCATGTATCTCAGGCTGGCCTCAAACTCAGTATGTATAAGAGTATGTCCTTGAACTCCTGAACTCCTACTTTTACCTTCCAAGTGCTGAGATTACAAGTCTGTACCATCATACTGGTCTATGTGGTGCTGGGGATCCAACCTAGGGCGTGGGGCATGCTAGGTAAGCACCCTATCAACTGAGCTACATTCCCAAGCCCCCTAGAAATTCTTAGCATGGTGACTTGATGGAGAAACTGAGACACAAAGTGATTAAACTGTGTTACCTCAGGCTAGGTCTCATAAAATAGTAAGAAACCTAAAAGCCCTAATTCTCAGGACAAAATTCTTTTTTCATTAGATTCTGACTCAAATTTGAAACACTGAATCTACTCAAAGTTTATGAAATTATGTGGTCCAGTTTGAGCTCTTGATACCTACCAAGAACAGTGCGGGATCTGGGATGGCAGCAAAAGTAATCACGATCCTTGACCTTTGTAAAAGGTTTCAGAGTTTACAAGTACCATTACACTCTGTCCTCATAAAGATGTCAATAGCGTCCCCTTTTAGATAGGAGGTGGGAACTCAGAGAAAACTAGTGTCCTGGAACAGAACAGATAACAAAGGTTGTAATAGGGACTGAGACTCGGTGTCTTCTGAACCCAAGTTCAGTGAGAATAAACTTTGGGGAAAAGAGGCCTTCTATTGGAGACTTCAAGGAGACTAAGGAAGGGAAAAGAAGCCAGTGTCACCAGTGCCTCCACACAGGTGAGCAGAGAAGAAAATCAGCATCATTAGGTATTTCAAGTGGAGGCACAAAGCTGCTCTTGGCACTGTGGGGACCATGGGTCTAACCTCTAAGGAACTGCAACTTAAGACAAACACACTATGAAGAATAAATAGGTACATTTGAACAAATGATGAAATATGAGCAGTCAAATGCAAGAGTAGACAGGAAAGTTGTTTTTATCATACACATGCCCAGGTAGGCTTGAGGTATGGAGAATTGGTAAGTATATAAAAGAAAAATGGAAACAATAAAGACAGGCAAGCCATGGCTGAGGGGGAAAAAGTTCAATCCAGGAAGGATTTTCTTTTTAAAAAAATAAAATATGTTTTAAAGGTGTTCCCTTCTTTCTTCCTTTTGTTTTGTTTTGAGTCAAGGTCTCATATAACCCAGGCTGTCCTCAAACTCCCCATGTGGATGCTGGCCTTGAACTCTTGATTCTCCTGCCTCTGCCTCCGAAGTACTGGAATAACAGACATATACCACAGTGCCTAAGAAGCAGTAGAGTAGTTGTGTTTGGGTAAGAATGGAGTTTTGAGATTACGGTTTAGAGCAGAATCTTATCCTAGACATGGGACAATTACAAAGATGAATAGGAAGAAGGAAAAAAGAAGTGTCAAGAAGGTAATGTCAAAGTTGCTCTGAGCAACTGGAAATTCAAGAGAGATTACAAGCTATTTTGACTACTAGGTTCTATCTAAGTGCTTCCATGCCCATACTTGCAGAAGGTGTATTCCCCATTTCAGAAGCACAAAGAACCTTCAACTTGTGAACGCCTGTTTGCAAGAGATGCTGAAGGCAGCCATGCAGTGGTGAAAATGGTAGATAGACTCTTTAGTATACTGAGCAGGAAGTCCCCAGCAGTCCTAATCTCCCCATATTCTGCCAATCACAAGAAAGATTCCCTGTGTATAGCTGGTCTCCCCATACGCACACATTGTCCCAGTTTGTTTTATCAAAGCCAAATTCACCTGTTGAGTTCCAGGCCAGTGATCAACTAGATTCTTAGAGTAAAATCTCTGTTGAGTTTTGCTGGGCTATAAACATTTCTCAATTTGGCCAAGCACAGAGACCTGTTTATCTCTAATTGTGTTTACTCACCCTCTGTGCCCCTAATTAGTCAGAGAAGTAGCAACAGAGAACCAGTAGGAGTCTAGAAGAGTAAAAATATGCACAGTCTATTCTCTGGTCCCTGGTTCTTTACAGTACAAAGGGTCTTGAAGTAGGTAAGACTGTGCTGGCTCTACCCATAACCATCTAAGTCATGAGCTGAAAGTTGGCAACCTCAGACTTTCTGAGAAACTGCTCATTCCTGATCACCCTGGTTTCTGAACTGACAGAATTACGAAGATGCGCACAGACAGTTTGAGAAGTTGAGGATTCTTATCAGTCTTATGAACATTTCTGCCATCTATTCACCTGCTGTATTCTGCACTGTATTAGCACATGTAATACTTATAGAATCCCCTACAAATAAGATACTGATAAACACCTTAGGAGTCAATGAGACATCTCCAGGAACTGACAGAGAGCACTCAACCAAGATAACAAATAGTTGAAGGCAAAAGGGTTGAATCGATTTTAGCTAAACCCTGGCATTTTGTTCTGTTCAATTAAACACAGAAGACAGCATTTTAGGGACTGTGCAGAAGATGGAGATTACTACCATATAAATCATTTCTACACTCAAAGAGCTCACGGACCACTTGCAGATACTAGTAATCCTCTCCACACTTAAATCGTACTCATTTACCTTCAGAGTAGGACTTTCTAACTGGAAAGAAACTTTACCTTACCAATGCTATTATTCCTTGTTTTTTAAATAGATAAGGCAACTTCAGGGCATACAAAATGGTCAACTTGTCAACAACTGGGGAAGGACAAGCAGCAGGAGCCAGAAGCCAAGAGTGGCAAAATCGCAAGCTCAATGGCCAGCCTGGAGGATGGAGGAGGCGATAACAGGATAGCAGCATGTCCAAAACCAGAAGCCAACTTTTACAACAACTAATGGTAATATATCCTTGTTCTGTGTGGTTCACAAGACAGAAAGGTGTAATGGAACAAAGCAGGTGATATGCATTTGATCAAGACAGATCTTCGATTCAGCCTCCTATCTTCAACTCCCCCCAACATTTTACCAGTTTACTCTTCGCTCATTTCACCTTCACGGATCCGCACTCTGGAGTAAAATAGGCCTGGACACCATTTTGATTTACGGAAGCTGGCTTCAGAGATTTTTATCATTAATTCTTAAGAAAATTTTTAAAGAGCAATTTTTAATTGCTCAAACTGGAAGCGATTAATTCTTAAAGAGCAATTTTTAATTGCTCAAACTGGAACAAAAGTTTAAGGGAGGTGGGATTTGTGTCTGGATGACAAAAACTTGCACGTTGTAGTACTTAGTTGAGGAAAAACTAAGGCTTAAAATGGAAACAAGCGAAGAAATGCTCACTCCCTGGTCTCCAGCGGGAGGAAACGCCAAGGCCGCACGCTTCGGGGGTTTCTGAGCTTCTTAGGTATGGAAGGACCTACAGCGAGCAGACAACAGCCGGGCTACGAACCCGACCTGCTTCTCGCTGAGCGCGTGACCAGTTCAGTGCGGGCGGAAGTCGGCGGCGCAGACACACGGACGCGCGCGGGGCTCGGGCACCACCTCCTCTCCGCCCCCGCCCAGCGCGGAAGTGACGAAGGCATCCTAGGCGGTCACTTCCTGCTGGGTGGATGAGGAGGAGCCCGAGCTGCCGCGGAGGAGCTCGAGCGGAGATTGACCGCACCGGAGAGGTGAGCCCGGCGTCGGAGGCCGCGGCCTGGAATTCCGGGCGGGTAGGGCGCCGTGGGATGAGGGCTGCGGGCCGGGCGGACCCGGCGCCGTCAGGCCGTGCACGGATGATCGAGCGCCCTCGAAGAGATCGGCGAGCACCTGCAGGCAGACGCTCTGGACCCTGGGGGGCCTGTGTGAAAAGCTGGGGCTGCAGGATGAGGGACGCGTCCGGGTCAGGTCGGCGTCCCCGGGTGCTAGCCCACAGACCTCTGGTTCCTCCAGTTCCTTGTGGTAGGGAAAAGGCCCCGCGCTCCGACAGCGCAGTCTAGTTGTTAGAATCCAGGACTGCTTCCTGGAGCCCTGGGGAAATCAGTGTTTCTCCTCCTCTTCGTCTGGGAAATGGGTGAGGAAGCTCCTGCCCAACCCCGGGTGCATTGTTACTGTGGATCTCGTGCGTGTGCCAGGGGCTGTGCGTTTTCTCTTTCCTTTGGCTCGTTCGTCTCCTCCGTTTATATAGACTGAAACTACCGGTCTCCTTAATGTGTATGACGAGAAAGAAACTGCAGAGCATCTAGAGGAATTCTAGGTTAGGTGACATTTCCAGGATTAGGAATTTGTCCTCACCCCACCCTGGGGCCACTGAAGCACCTGCATTCCCTCTAGACTCCTGCTCTTGTGGGTGTTGAGGACCCTGAAGGGCACTAAGGATAAATCTGCCCTCTCCTGCCCCTGGTTCACCCTTCCTTTCTCTTCGCTGAAGAACTAACACAAAGCTGCTTACTGCTGCGAACAGGAAATTTATTGAGGAACTATAAATCTACATGGAATGAATTCCGACGCTAGCAAGACTCCCTCCATCTCTGGCCAGAAGATCCCAAGTGCCTACTTTGTTTTTTCATTCTGTTAAGGGGATAAAATTTTTCTCACAAAATTTAGGAAAGTTATGTTGTATAGAGTGACTGTACATAGGAGGTATTTACTTTCTGTATCCCAGAGTATTTTTCAAGAGTGAGGGGGCAATTTCTGACTGGGAGATATTTTCCTTCTCCGTCTCACGTAATTCTGTAAAATAAATCAAAATCATATGCTCGTTCTTGAGTAGGTTTCAGATGGATTTTTTTTCCCCATCCTTTAAATTGGTACATCTTAGTGAACTTGGGTTTGTGCATCTTGCCATCTGGGCTTGTCTAGTAATAGAAGACAAACTGCTTGACTTGTTTTTGCTGCTTTTTGGACCTGTTTCACTGTTCCTTTTTTAACATTTGGAGAGTTGATCAGGAGGAAGAAAGCAAAATATTAAAGGACAGTGTTTATACTTTGTGGTTAAAGTCAGGTGAGAGATAATTACAGCTTTCAAAGCTGATTGACCTGAGGACCATCATTTGATGACTTGAGGATTAGTAGTTCGGAGGTGACATGCTTGAAAGACAAAGAGCTGTATAAGGAAGGAAAGACAGGAAAGGATGTTTAGGGGAAAGCTGTTGCCAGAGACCTTACTTGGATAATACATAGCATTTCATAGTAATTTTGTGACTTTTGTCTCCCAGCAGGAGGGTGAAAATGAAAGCAGGCTGTAGCATCGTGGAAAAGCCTGAAGGAGGTGGAGGTGAGCAAACTAATCATCTCTGTTGTACCTGGACTGTCCCTTGGTGGTTCCTGTGCTTCCTACTTGGGCTTGGTTTACAAATGCTAGACTGAGATTGACAGATTTTGACTGGGTGGATCTTGGTAGGATTGTTGGAAACTTGTTTCCTATGGATATATATTGAACATATCTGGTCCACAGACCTTTATCCCAAGTTTTAGAATCTCTTATTCTGTTACAAATATTATTCTCCCCTGGGGGTTAGGTATTTTCTATTATATTTTCCTGAAACACTAGTTTATCTTTGTTGTTTGTTCCTTTTGGAACTTTCATCCCTCATAGAAAGTAGATAATGATATTTAGTAATCTAGGAAAAATTGAGAGATTAGGATGCCTAGGTACTGCTGCCCAATTCTTATCAGATTCAGTGATTGCCACAAGGATGTATAATTTCTCTGTCCTTTCTCTCCTCTTTGTGGTTAACCCAGCTGACTGGGTATGGTTGCAAAGTACTCTAGAGATTGTGAGCTGTGGAATGTGGAAGCAGGGGTCCTGGCATATTTGTTCCTAACTACTTTGATCTTGTCCTTTTCATATTTAAGGGTATCAGTTTCCTGACTGGGCCTATAAAACCGAGTCATCACCAGGCTCCCGGCAGATCCAGCTGTGGCACTTCATCCTGGAACTGCTGCAGAAGGAAGAGTTCCGCCATGTCATCGCCTGGCAGCAGGGAGAGTACGGGGAGTTTGTCATCAAGGATCCAGATGAGGTGGCTCGCCTCTGGGGCCGCAGGAAATGTAAACCTCAGATGAACTATGACAAGCTGAGCAGGGCTCTCAGGTAAGGAAAAGAGGTCCAAAGCTTTGTGGTATTAATAGATTGGAAGGAAAATAGGCAGTTTTGTGAATGTTGGATAAAAAGTGTATCAGGTGATGAGAGACTGCACTTCTTGATGAAAAGTGTATAGCTTAAAAGTGAGAGTCAGAGAGGTGTGAATCTTGAGAGACACAGAGGAGAAAAGGTATGTCTGGTTATATGTGTAAGGGAACTACAGTGTGGCTGGCACTGGCTCCTGATAGACAGATGATTCTTCTCTCCAGTGGGTAAGAGTATATGGTGAAGGGTGGACTGGGACTCATGTTTAATCCAGAGGGTTAGTATAGACTTCCCTACTAGGAAATTCCTGTAATCTCTCTTCTGTAAGCTCCCCTAGAAGAAGGTAGAAAGGTAAATACAGGAGGAAGGCTTGTTGAGTGGCTCTGAACTTGGCTGCTTGCACAGGCACTGTGTCTGTAGGCTCCATTGTCAATCTACAGGTTGCTCCAGCATCTAAAGTATGATTACTATAAGTGCTTCCAAATTCTGTTTTTTCTTTGTCAGTTTAAATTTTATAACTCTTTAAATTTCTTAACTCTTTAGCCCTCAAGGGGCCAGCAGGTAGTTTGTGACACATGCTACTTAATAGAAGCCAGACCAAAGAGTCCAGCTTCAGAGAAGTTGCCTGCCTTTCCTCATTTTCAGTACCCTGACTATAAAATCCATGCAGTTTTGCCAGAGCCTGCTGCATCCCATTTGAGTCTTTGAAGGTAAAATAGGCTACAGTGGCTGCTGTTTTCCACATCAGGACATTCCATTGCCTCACTGGCTACCATAAAATAGTTTTACATCATTTTGTCTGTGCCTTGCACTTAGGCCTTCAGTCTATCCCCATGAGAACTCCCAGAAGACTTGGTTTGACCCCACCTGGGCAAAACAGAAAGGCAGTGACTTAGAGTGGAGTGGGAAGGAAATGAACTCTGGATTGAGAGAAGTGGGGAGATGAGTGGTTAGAACTGAGGTGGGTGTTCAGGATCTTGAAATTAGGATATCTCTAAAATTCTAGCCAAACACTAGAACGTAATTGAAACTGAGTAAGAAAAGTAAGCTCTTAAGTCTCCAAGCTCTAACGTCAGGCTACAAAAGAATGGTGAGTGATTGTTGTAAGCAGTGCATAGGGCAAAAATGGGTGTTCTTAGTAATTACCTCAAAAGCTACCAGTAGCAAAAAAATAAACTAGCATGTGTTCTTATTTTTACAGATACTATTATAACAAGAGGATCCTTCATAAAACAAAAGGGAAAAGATTTACTTATAAATTTAATTTCAACAAACTGGTGATGCCCAACTACCCATTCATCAACATTCGGTCAAGTGGTAAGATGCACACTCCTTTGGTGGAGAGTTAATTTTTATTAAAAAGAGTTTTTAAAACCCAGTTCTGAGGTGTGAGCTGTGTGAGGAGTTTTCTGACACTAACATGGTGTGATCTGCCTCACATCCTTGCTCATCTCCTAAAGGGGTAACAGGCCATGTATTTTCATGGTAGGTTTCATTTGTTTCGTTCCCTTTTATGTGAATTATTTGCAATCTCAGTATTAAACTGTCTTTTTGGGAAATGTGAGCCCATAGATTTGTGTTGAATTTTAAGTTCAAGACTCAGTTTTAACACCTTGCCCAAAGGCTGTCTCATAGCTGTGAACCTGTTTCTACCAACACATCCGATTTTCTATGAAACTACAAGTTCTTCCTTATCAAGTGAATGTCATCAAAACCACAGCATCCTTGGTCAGAAAAGGAGAGGTTCGCATGTTTGCACTGAAAGGCAGAGTCTTTGATCTGCACTAGGGCTTAGCACTGTGCTCAGAGCAAGACTCTGGGGTTAGCCTTCACTCCTTTTAAGTACAGCTGGACTTACATCTACTCTACACTGTCCAGGTTAACAGTTTTCCATCCCAGCTCACAGCCTTTTGGTCTGCCCCTTGATAAAGAGGCACCTACTTAATAAAGTGTTGAGTGGAGTTGTTTGTGGGGTCTGGAGATTTTTTGGAGGGGGTTATTAGGTTGTTTGTTTGCTTTTAAGATACAAATTATCCCCTGCTCAGGAAAGTTTGTAGCATTGTTGTTTAATTTTTGAGACAGATCTCACTGTGTAGCTCAGGCTGACCTTGAATTTGCTCATTTGCCTAAGCTGGCCTAGCGCGGTCTTCCTGCCTTATTCTCCCAAGCACTAGGATTACAGGTGTGGAATACCATGCTGGGCTATATTTAATCATTTTTGACCAGGGTATTGCTCTTTGTGGCATTCTGTGTTAAGGCAAAGAAAACTGATCATGATTTTGAAGTAACTTCTCAGAGAAAAGTTGACAGAAACTTGAAAAATTAGAGCAAGGGTGTGGCTAAAAGAATATAGTGTTAAGATCTTCTGGAGATATGTAATTACTACACACAACAAGTTAGGGCAGTTTGAGCTTGACTACTATCATTACCGTCCGTCTCTCCTGTAGCCACTCCCTTCTGTCCCTGGGGCATGCATTTAAAGGGGGTGAGGGGGACTGGAATGTATCTCTCTAATTACCACCTGTTTTCTTTCCTTCTGCTGGAGGATGCTGCATTAAGAAATCAAACCTGTTCCAGCCCTTGGAATCTTAGATCCCCTATTTCTTACTCTTGCCTTTTTGTGCTTAGAGAAATTGGGACTTCAGATGTACCATCAATTGTGAAGAGCGTATTGGTTGTTTGTATCTTTTCACTCCATGTCCCCAAAATGCTGATCTTGTTCCTCTTTGATCCATTTCCATCATTTGAAAACTCAGAAGTCCAGCCATTTGGACAACTTGAAACAGGATGTCCATCAACCCCTGAGTAACCTGGTTTTCCAGAGCAAGGAATTCTGGACTCTGATTCTGTAGAAGCTCTGGTTTGGAAACAGCAGTAGTCTGGCACACCTGCTGTACAAAAAGCCGTTAAGCCCACAGTGATCTTTTAACAGCTTCGAGATCCTAATCAAAAATCACAGAGAGGGGCAAGGGGCAGAGCTTAAGAAGAATGCTTGCCTGGCATGCATTAAGGCCCCAGATTCAATTCTAACTTTGTACCATTCTTTTAGGTTTACTATTTTGTCGTTCACATTCTAGGTATAAAAAACTCGGAAAAACCAAAGACGTTTGTTTACAGAGAACTTTCATCCACATAGATCCGAATGTTTAAGATTATACTGACAAAGGAAAACAACATGATTTAATATTTACTTAATCAAGATACTTGTGCTTAAGCAGATACTTGTGCTTAGTTGGCTGTGATGAATTATCTTGAACTACCTTCTAGCCTGGTACCATGTATGTTTTAATATTCACCTTTTGCAAATGGTAAAATTAAGGATGAGGATAGCAAAATCAAAGACCAAAGTAGGTTCAGTAGTTACCTGCTATGCTAAATCGTTTCTCAGAAAACACCTTGTGAAAGATTGAACTATTGAAATCTAATCTTATTTAACACATTATACATTCCTCCCTTCAGTTAAGATTCATTCATGTGTTCAACAGATAATGTGTTGATCCGTAAAGAGTTTGGATCCTGGAGGCTAAAAAGATCCTCTCTATAGGTGATATAGTGAAGCTGTTTTGGTCTCTGTGCTAAAATACATATGTGGCCAAATTCACAACCAAATAATACAGAAGTTTTATATTCTTTTTCCCTTCCTCTTTGTCCTGCTTACTGTTAATAGTTTAGGGTAGAACTGGGCATGGTGATACAAGCCTGTAATCCCAGCACTTGGGACATAGAGGTAGATGGATCAAGAGTTATCCTTGGCTATTGAGTTCAAGGATAACCTGGGCTACTTTGAGACCATGTCTCAAAGAACCCCAACCCTCCAAAAAAAAAAAAAACACTTCAGGGTCAGGGTCAGTATCTGAGTTATGTTGAAATAGTTGTACCAGACAGGCATAGTGCATACTCTGGTAATCTCAGCATTTAGGAGACTGAGGCAGAAGGATTAAGAGTTTGAGGCTAGCCTGAACAACATAGTCTGTTTCTCAATAAAATAAAAGTACTTCTGTATCTTGTTTTTTTATACTGTATTTGCTTAAGTAATATTGAAAGATATAGAAGATACTAGTAAAGAACGGCTAACTCTCGTGGGTTAGGGACAGGACAGACTAATTCATGAACAGACTTGAAACCTCTCAGATTTTGCCTCCCTACTACCACCGTGGGTTGTTTGTTTGTTTGTTTGTTTGTTTGTTTGTTTTGGTCTTTTTGACACAAGGGCTACAGAGAAACATCAAACCTATAGAAAAATTGAATTCAGAACATTCTTATCTCCTTTAGCTGGCTTCGCTGGTGGTCGGTGTCATTGCCCTATGTGCTCTGTCTCTTTATTTGTGGATGCTTTTTCAATCTGGAGATTAACTTGCAGATACCATGGCATGTTGCCAGGTATCTCCCAGAAACAAGGATCTTTTCTATAACTGCAGTGACATTACCACATCCAGAAAGTTTAATATTGCTCTAGTAACTATTATCTAATGTGATCCTTATTTGAATGGTATATGCCTTATTAAAATTTTTATTTTTGAGCCATCATTATCTAAATATTAAATCAGGCATTAAGCTCATGCCTATAATCCCAGCACTCAGAAGACAGGGGAAGGTGGATCTCTGTGAAGGCCAACCTGGTCTACATAGCAGTCCAGTCTAGCCGGGACTACATAATGAGACTCAAAAAAACAAACAAAGGGGCTGGAGAGATGGCTTCACAGTTAAGAGCACTGATTGCTCTTACAGAGGACCCGGGTTCAAATTCCAGCAACCACATGATGGTTAACAATTGTCTGTAACTCCAGTTCCGGGGGATCTAATGCCCACTTCTGACCTCCACAGGCATTGCATGACACAGGTGCACTTACATACATGCAGCCAATACACTCATACACATAAAATATTTTTAAAAAAAAAAAAAAAGCAAAATTTAGGGACTAGAGAGATGGCTTAGCAGTTAACAACACTAGTTATTCTTGCAGAAGGCCCAGGTTCAAATCCCAGCACCCACATGGTAGCTAACAACTGTCCATAACTCCAGTTCCAGGGGATCCGACAGCCTCTTCTGTCCTCCACAGGCATTGCACGACACGGGTGCACTTCAATTCATGCAGGCAAAACATGCATACACATAAAAAAATAAATAAAATATAAAAAAAATACTTAACAACATGCAACTTGCTATGCACAGGTACTACTCCAATAGCTTCACATTGTTAACTGATTCCTCAAAATATTAGAATTGGTAGCTACATAATGAGACCTGGTCTCAAAAAAAAAGCAAAATTTATTTTAACAATATACAACTTGCTATGCACAGTGTTATTCCAAAAGCTTCACATTGTTAACTGATTTCTCCGAATATTAGGATTAGTCTTATTATTACTTATTTTGTTGGTATGAAAACTGAGGCAGAAAAGTAAATTGTCCAGAGGCACTTTGACAGGACCGGGCTTTGAACCTAGGCAAAGAACTTACTATTTGTATTTTTTCCCAAAGGGGGCATCAAAGACTCTCAATTATTTACTTACTAGTTAGAAGTTAAAAGATATCAGAACTAAGATTCAGATCCTCTGCCCCTATTACTTGAATCTCCTGTTGCCTTCAGGAGGGAATCTTCATTCAGGGTAGTAGTATCGACAATTTTTTAGAAGCATACTTTTTTTCAAACAGACTCTTAGATTTGACATCTCTACATACAACACATAAAAGTGGGGGCAGTTTTAGGTAATCAAAGGGAAGGGTCAGAATGCTGCCTTCCATGTATTGACCTGTCTTAACCTTCCTTTGTCCCATGTAAATACATTTGGAAAACACTCTCTATTCTCCTTTCAGATGTGCAGTGTGCCTTAGTGTATGTATAAAGACCAAGATAGCCTCCGTTTATAAAACAAAACACTAACTTGATTTAAACAAGCATTTCGAACTTGCTTAGGAGACAGGACTTTTCTCCATGGAACCATTGTTCCTTATTCTGCCCTTCAGATTACACATGAGTGGTTTTTCACTTTTAACTGGATAACACTCAATAAAAAGTCAAATCTAAAGAATCAAAAGATAGAGACTCTTAGGTGTTGTAATAAGCTGAGAGAAGAGATCCTTTGGCCCAGACCTGCCTTGGCTCTACTCAAATCACATGCAAGGTTATCTTTCCATTTTTCCTAATTAGGATTAAATCAGAGGCCTTAAAAACGAGGCCTGCAGAACCGTTTGCTATAGACCATCTGTTGGTAAATGCAGCTCTGGCAGTGCCACTCAGCATGTTCGCTGAGAAAAGCCCCAGTCTCACCCACAGTGGCCTGTTCCAACCATGACTAAGGACAGTTGTCACAGGAGTAGAAGGCGGCTGACAGGAGTGAAGTCTCACACACCACATCTTGGCACTGTTTCCTCCCCTAGACCACCACACTTTCACTGCTTTCTCTCCTCCTCCTCCTCGTTGGTCTTCACTTCTTCCCTCTTTTTCCTTTTTATCTCCCCTCAAGTATAAACAACTCTGGGTGTGGTCATAATAACAGCCACTGGTAGCTTTCTTGGGCTTTATTTAGGGCTTTCAGGGAAAATTAAGAATTTACAAGCCTTTTAAATTAATGTGGTTAGTACAATGGTAGTGCTTAGAGCTTCAAATTTAGTAGTTGAACTTGGTTTTTTAGTCCAGCCTGGCCTCAAATCACAGCGATTTTCTTGCTTTAGTTCCCAAGTGCTGAGATTACAAGCATGAGCCCCCACATTGGCCAGCATTCAAACTTAGAAGAGGAAGCAGTAGGTCCTGGATTTTCTCCCAGCCTCCTCAGTGCTTGGAAACAGAATGGAAGTAGAGCTCACTATGTAGGGTTCATTAGAAGAATCTAGATTTGGCAAGACTGGAAAGAATTTTGATCTCTGAAATAATGATTGTATATCAGCAGTGATAAGAAATCTGCCATAAGAACTTCCCCTAATAAACGTGGCTTTTTATACCAATCTATATCACTAAAGTATAGTCTTGTCAATGTCCATATATATGAGGTTAAGTCTGGGTTATTAGTGCATTGCCTAACACAGAGGTGTTTTCTTGGCTTGGTGGTTGTGGTTGGGTTTGCTTGCTTTATACATAGTGTGAATCATGGTGATGAGAAAAACCTATTTGTGAACTGGAAAACTGAGACAGGAGGTGTATACCCAAAAGAGTTTCAGAGGAGGCGGTTCTTACACTCAGTCATTCGTCCAGCTAATGCCTTAGTGGATACCTACAGTTGTTATGCCCTGAAATGTTGGGAATATAGTTTTAAACAATAGGAAGTCCTGGGGCTGCTGGCACTCACTGCTCTTGAAGAAGGCTTGGGTTCGATTCCCAGCACCCACATGGTGGCTAACAACTGTCCTTAACTCCAATTCCAGGGGATCTGATGCCCTCTTCTGACCTTTATGGCCGTTGCACAGCACAGGTGTACTTACATGCACATAGGCAGTACACTCAAACACATAAAATAAATTTTTTTTATTTAAAAAACGATAGGAAGTCATTGCTTTGTGAAATTAGAATATTGATCACAGGTGAATAGGAGGTCATTGCTTTGTGAAATTAGAATATTGATTGCAGGTGGGAAGAAGGAGGACCATACAGACAGCAACCTAAGATGTCAAAGGAAGATGGCAGTAGGTGGAATAGAGGAAGCTAAGCAATAAGTCTAGCCTTGAACTCTCTCAGTCCTTCTACCTCCACCTCCTAAGTGCTGGGATTTCAAAGCCTGGGCCACCACACCCAGCCTAAGCAGTAGTTTCTAAGAAGATAGTGAAGTGTGGGATTCAGTCCAATTGGAATGTTTTATTTCCTGTTGCCACTTAATGTTGTGTACTTAGTGTAAGTAAAAGTGATGATAGAATGACCAGGTGGCCAATGCAGCCTTTTGTCTTTTTCTTCAGGCGTGATTCCTCAGAGTGCGCCACCAGTGCCAACGGCCTCTTCCCGGTTCCATTTCCCACCTCTGGACACCCATTCTCCTACTGGTGATGTACAGCCAGGGCGATTCTCAGCTAGCTCCCTGACTGCTTCTGGCTCTGAGTCAGGCAGTAGCTCTGATAGAAAGGTGGAGCCTTCGGACCTGGAGGATGGCTCAGCCACTGACTGGCACCGGGGTGTAGATTTCATGCCCTCCCGGAATGCTCTTGGAGGAGGGGTCAGCCACCAGAAACGGAAGCCTGACATAATGCTTCCTCTGTTCTCTCGGCCAGCGATGTACCCTGACCCCCACAGTCCCTTTGCTGTCTCTCCGGTTCCTGGCCGTGGAGGTGTCCTTAATGTCCCCATTTCACCAGCCCTCTCCCTGACTCCCACAATCTTCTCCTATAGTCCCTCACCAGGCCTGAGCCCCTTCACCAGCAGCAGTTGCTTCTCCTTTAACCCAGAGGAAATGAAACACTACCTTCATTCTCAAGCCTGTTCAGTATTCAACTACCATCTAAGTCCCCGGACTTTTCCCCGTTACCCAGGCCTCATGGTCCCACCGCTGCAATGCCAAATGCATCCTGAGGATTCGGCTCAGTTCTCTATTAAACTGCAGCCCCCGCCTGCTGGACGGAAGAACAGGGAGAGGATGGAGAGCAGTGAGGAGTCCACACGTGTGTCTGCACCAACCAGCGTTCCTGTTCCCTCTCGAATTAAGGTGGAACCCACCTCTGAGAAGGATCCTGAGAGCCTCAAGCAATCCCTAAAGGAGGAACACCCTTCAGAGCTGGGCAGCCTGCAGATCAGGACCATAGAGGAGGGGAAAGGCACGGTCTTTGCCCAACCCTCTGCCCCACCCACCTGGCCCTCTGTCCCTGTTGGTATCCCTGGTGATGAACCCCTAGAAGTGAATGAAGACAGTGAGGACAGGTCTGACAAAGAGCCCAGTGCACCCGAGAAGAAGGAAGATGCCCTGATGCCCCCTAAGCTTCGATTGAAGCGGCGTTGGAATGATGACCCCGAAGCCCGGGAGCTGAGTAAGACTGGAAAGTTCCTCTGGAATGGGGCAGGACCCCAGGGCCTGGCGGCAGCAGCAGCTGCTGCCGATGCTTAAAAGTGGAAAGGGAGATGTTGATACTACAATCAGATACATACATGTATTTATGTAGCAAGATTCGGGGGGGTTAAGCTGGTTTGCTCATCGTGAGGTATAGACTTGTACTTTTGGGTTGGGGTGGGATAGGTATCTTTTGTTGTAAATTAGGTGGGGTATGAACACTTTATTTTTCCTGGTGGTAGGACATAGGGAGGGTATTGAACTGAAGAGGGAAGGAGCCTGTTTCCTGTTTTGAGGCTTATGCTTCCTGACAAGGAAACTCCATACGGGCCCACTACCTTGTAGTTCCTTGACAGTTCCAATTCCACAGTTCTCTTTTCTATTGTATTTATACATAGAAAACCAATAATGGGTTTATTTTGCTTTAAGAGAGATGAGTTAAAGAGAAAGGGTTATTATGGCTATAAGGTTGGGCAGGGAAGATGGATTAATGAGTATTTTGTCTGGAATATTTATTGCAGGGGAGGAATAAGATAACTCCAGTCTTACTGGAGTACAGACGTTCAAATGTTTTCGCTCTCATTTTTTTTCCCCTTTTTATAAATTGTTTTCAGGACACATGAGTGTACTGCCAGTTATAATGAGCAGGGAGGGCACAGGAGCTACCCCTCAGCTGCAGGGTTGAGGTGAGAAGCAAACCCTACTGCAAGTTCCTTGGACTTTGACCTACTTCACCTACTAAGAAGCCATGAGGAGTTGTAAACTCTTGATCAGGGAAGAAAGAAGAGGACAGGAGGAAGTAACCCAATGCCTTTAAAACAAAGCAGATGACAGAAATGCTCTTCATTTTCCTTTTTCCATTGTGGGTTTGGGAAGCCAAACCAAATATGACTGAGCAAGTTTTCTGAGAAGCAGGACAGTGCTATTGGAGATGTTTTCCATTGTGTCTGGTTCTCTTAGCATTTTCTTAAGTCGAGCCTTAACTATGAACATAGTTTAAGATGATACGGGTCGGTCAACATAAACCTGTAAAGGGCACAGGCACACTGTTCAGATAACCCAGGAATGCTGAGACATGGTTAAATTCCGAACTAATAGTCATTCCCTCTTGATGTTACTGGGATGGGTGGCAAAAAGGTGGGATTGTGGAGATGAAACAGAAAGTAGCTGAGGGAACAAGGGTTTTTTGGAACTGAAGGAAAAGGGGGAAGGAAAATGGCCTGACGACCAAAAGGCGAAGGAAGAGGGGTGTCTGTCCTGTAACGGTGTTGCCATCCTTATCCCATTTCCCCAGATTGGTCATGAAACACCAGTTCACAGACTGAAGAGTCGTTCCGTGGCCTGACGACCAAAAGGCCTGGTGCGAAGGAAGAGGGGTGTCTGTCCTGTAACGGTGTTGCCATCCTTATCCTATTTCCCCAGATTGGTCATGAAACACCAGTTCACAGACTGAAGAGTCGTTCCTTCGTGGGAAATAGCCTCCCAAAAGACTAGTACTAGGGGCAGAGGGAAAGCAGCAGTTGCCAGCCTCTTAGGTGTGCCTGCAGTGTAGTGAGCACCTGCCTGGGGCTCACAGCCGCCCAACAGCAGCAAGAAGAAGAGATCATTCCATGTATGTTAAGGCAACAAGTGGCTTTGGAATAATTTGTGATTCCACTGCCTAAGCCTAAGAGAATCCTATATATCAAGTAATACCTGAATGTTGTCTTTTAATGGTGGGGTGTTTGTTTTTCTTTTTTGTAGCTGGAATGCATTCACAAAAGAGGAACTCAAGGTTAGAATAGGTGAGAGAGATGGCCTGGGACGACTTGAGGCCGTCATTACTATTTCTTGATGGGTGATGAGTGTCCTTTCACTTAGTTCAAATTCCATGCATGAATGATGGTATTTCACAGGAAAAGGACAGGTGGGCTCTGGTGATCCAGTCTTTCATCAGGCTACAAAGGACTCTCCACTCAGGCTGCCTTCGGTGGTTGTGTTTTGATCAGTTTTCGTCTCTGCACCTTGACTTACCTCTGAATCATAAAGCAAGCCCAGCAGGTAGAGGCAGGCCCTCTGCTTGGTATTGCCCATCTAACCAGGGAGAGCAGGTGTTGATATGAACTCAGGAATAGAAACATGAGGCCTTTAAAATGAGAGGGAGAGAAATCCACAATACATACCTGTAACCCCCTAGGACCCAAGTGCCAGAATCAGTTCCTAGATGCTGCTTCCATCTGAACAAAAAGTCACTGCTTTTACACTTGAAAAAACATTCAAAAAATGTTGAACAACGTGAAAAATGCTTTTAGACATTAAGAGCTTGTTCGATGTTTGTTTCCTTTCATTGCCATTTCACCAGTAATTTGTTGTTGATTTGCACTGCACACCGGGTTGGGGGAAGGATCCCTATACATAGCCAAACTTGGGCTGTCTCAGGAAGTAGATCAGGGAATGTAGAGGTCATTGATAACTTTCTGGGACAAAAGAGAGAATTATGCTCTCCCTAGCCCACTTCTGGCAACACCTGTCCCAACCTGGTACAAGGCCAGGCTGTCCCCTTCTGTGAACCATTGTCCAGCAGCTGGATAGGGGGAACAAAAGTTGGAGCTACATCCTCCCTTGTTTTTCTAAATTTGTGCCAAATGTGTAAAACTTTGCAAATATAAATCTATTGAAATTTCACTAATCAAGAGCTAACTTGTGTAATGAAACAGTTTGCTTTTTTTTAGCTGTAGAAGAATAGAGATCTCTTGTGGGGAGGGCATCCAGCCTTGCTGAGCTCACCTTTTTTTCCCTGAAGAATGGGTAGAGGTAAAATATACAGAAAGCGCCCCCACAGGTGGCAGGCTGCACTGCATTAAACCCAGCAGACCCTAGAGACCCATGGGCCAAGAAACTTCCAGAAGCATTAAAGAAAATGGTTGTATTATGCTACCAAGTGGGTAGCATTATTTAGTAGTTTGACCCTTGTTTGTTTTTTTTATTTATTCCATAATTATGTTTGTGCTTTTTCTTTTGTAAACAGTAAGGGGACATAGGTTTTATGTGGTTTAAGAGAAACCTTTAATTCAGTCTTTCAAGAACTGTTTCAATTAGTTCCTTCTTGGGAAAAAAGTTATGAGTTAATTTGTTTTTAAATATTTAGGTATTTGAATTATAAATTGTGATGCAGGGATTTGTGAATGAGACATTCACATGTGAAGATGGCTTCACTGGTCATCTGTAAGCAGAATAAGATGTGTATATGTACATAATATGTGAGGAGTATGAACTCCACTGTGCAGTGCCTTTTAGATGTTCTGCTTTCTAAAGTCTTCAAATTTTGCATATATATTATATATATGATGTAATGTTATAGAAATATATGTATAATATACATATTTTTTTCCAGGGGTATCTGATAGCTCTGTATTTTGTTATGGAAGTCAAAAAAGGTATTTTACCTCAGAAATTAAAGTTAAATTTAAAAGCACTTTAGTGTTTGCTGAGCATTGATTTGATTGATCATCATGCACTCTGCCGCAGAGGTCATGCCAGGTTAGTGCTAGCTAATCCACTACAGTCTACATAGGGCCCAGCACAGTGAGGAGCAGGGTCAGCACAGTGAAGACCAAGTCTCTTGACGATAGAGCTTGTCTGACTCATTAGTAGTACATAGCCAGTCAGGCACAAGAAGCCACATGATCACTGTGTGAAAATGTCCAGCCAAGGAGATGCTGGGAAAGTAGGGCATGACTGCTAATGGCTTACATTTTCTTGTAGGATGATGAAAAATGCTCTGGGTCTAGATAGTAAATATTACTTGGACAGCTTGAATACAAATAAGAGAAACCACTAAACTATAGTCACTCCAAAATGGTAGATATGATGATCTATGAATTATATCTCAAACGTGGTTTTATGATTTTCTTGGGATTTTTTTTTCCTTTTTAAGTACATGGCAAGCCAGTACTAGGGAAACATAGTAATTCACAGTGGAGGACAAGCGGAGAAGTGAACCTTGAGTGCTGACAGTAATCTCATTTTGCTCATGGGGAAGAGACTTTCTGAAGGGCCCTACATATGGGGTGTTAGATTTTATTTAACTGGTTCAGGAAGGTAAGGGTGAGTGACAGGGAGATGTGGGTGAAAGGCCTCAGTATTTTTGAGTTTGGGCCTGACAGTGAGGGCCATGGGCCCGAGGAACTATCCTGCCAAAGCAACACCTGCTCAAGAAGCTAGCCCATTTAGGCAGGGCAGGAAGGTGACAGGCCTGGCCCGAGGCTTAGGAAGGCAGGCTGGGAAGGGCTGGGCAGCTACTTTTATCTTCCCTGGGTGTGCTCTAAACAGACTCATTTTAGGAACAAGCCGCTCAGAGCTCAGATCCCAGGGGACAGGCTCTGCCAGTGCTTAGACCTGGATGGCAAGTACTAGAATTGAGGAGGGCATGATGGTGAGCAGGAGGAAAACATGAGAGGCAGGGCTAGCAAGAGGACAAGGCAAAGGCCTTCAGGCCTCACAGCAGCTCAGGAAGAATAAAACCAGTAGAGTCCAAGTTCTCCCAACAGTCTTTGGACAACTTGGAAAATCTTAATGTGATCCTTAGTTTCCTGAACCTCCATCTACTGTGGCCCATATTTACCTCTCAGCCTCATCCTTTGCCACAGATGCAGGTACAGACCCAAAGTTTAAGGTCTGGTACAGGTACTACATTTAGCATGTGCTGGCCTTTCTTTAAGGGCTGCTTGTACTGACTCCATCTTTACAACGGCCCTGTGAGGCAGGTGGTGTTCAGTCCCTCATGAAGGGGTAAGTGAAGTACAGACCCCAGCCCCGCGGCACAGCCACACACTGATCTGTCAGCTCTCTCCCCTTCCCCGGCCTAGTGTCTTCAACATTCAACCAGGTCCTTACTTCTAGGGCCCTTCACAAGCAGATCAAAAGTATACCTCTGTCTACTCTAGGGCCCATATTCTCTGCCTTTTCTGCACTGTTGTTGCTGCTGGTCTGGTTGCTTATCTGACTTCTCTGAACTATCAGGAAGCCAAAAGCCAGCATAGGGTTCATTCATCTCCCTTAAGTGCCTAACACACTGCCTGGAACCTAAGGATGCTTGATGAACTAATTGAATAAGAAAACACTAAGGCCTGGGATAGGTCTGGATGGGACACATGGACAGGGCTTCCTAGGCCCCAGAGTAGGGCCTCCTGCCGAGAGTCAGTCACCATTCTGTCACAGCCTTCTCCCTGCCTCTAGGTATGCTCTCCTTCCCTTCCTGAAACTGTACCCCTTCCCACCTTCCACAGGACATGACGGCATGGATTTTCTGCCCATGCACATCTCTGTGTGTATGTGTACATGTGGGAGTGTGGGGTGCATGTGTACATGTAGGCCAGAGCTCTGTCAGTGTCAGGTTTCTTAATCACTCTCCACCTTAATTTTTGAGACAAGTTCTCTCACTGAACCTGGAGCTCACCAAATGCCTAGACTGGCAAGCCAGCAAACCCAGGGATCTTCCTGTTTCTGCCTCCCCAGCTCTGGGATTCCAGGCACTTTTTTGTATGGTTCTGGGATCCAAACTCTGGCCCTCATGCTTGCTCAGTAGGCACTTTACTGAATGAGCCATCTTCCCAGCCTCTGGCTTTTCACTGATCCACGTAGAACGTGAGCAAAGAAAAGTCTGAACTGTGGGTGTTTCCTGCCTCCCAGTTCCCAGATCTCCAACTCTGCACTGCCCCCTTGGCTCTGCCTTCCTCCAAAGGCTCAGACTCTGGTCCACATCCATGCACCTGGTCTCCTCTTAAGCCTGATCCACCTGCATGCACCTGCCTGTAGTGTCCTGCAGTGAAAAGTGGGCAGGTACAGGAGACCCTCCTGCTCTCCTGTCTGCTCTGACTTTCCTCCCTTCTAGGAGCAGATAGGGCTCTCCTGATCCAGAGTCCCACATCTACATTCCTCTCCTGACCGAGAGTCCTGTGCCTGGCTCACATAACTTGGGCAGCTCTGAGATGTGTGGGACTCCAATCCCCTTACAGAGGACTTGTGATGGTTAAGTGATGACAAAAAGCACTCCGCATTCAAATGAGTCAACAAGTGACAGAGATGCCATGTGTAGCCTAGCTTCATAGTTCCTTCTGTGCTCAGTTATTCACTGCCCTCTCTAGAAGACACACACACACACACACACACACACACACACACACACCCTGAAGCCCAGAGCTAGTAAAGACAC